CTACTATCCTTATCAGAAGGGAGTGGGCCCTACTTGTTGTGGGATAAACAGTGGTGTCTGCTTGTTGCAGATGGCTGATAGCTCTTAAGGAGAATGACCCCTAATCCACTTCTGATGACCTCCAAGTGTATAGTCATTCTCAAGCAGCGAAGTCTGGCATATATCTGGGGGAGACAGCTTGAGAGAAACCCTTCTGTTTCCCACACACTCCCAAGCATGGTTCCCACCGCCATGGTTTGCATCATCAGCACACCTTACACCTCAGAATGACACCTTGGCTTTTCGATGCTTTCAAGGGGTCTTCTGCAGCAGCTTTGCCCAGTGCGATACATTGATTTCTCGACCATGACTTCCAGGAGCGCTGATCGTGGGTCCAAGCAAAGGCAATCCGTCACCACTTTCGTCTTTCCGCCATTTACCACCATCTTCTCTATTTCTTCCAGTTGAGAGGATTTCTGTTCTGTTTACTTTATACCCAGACTGAAGGCTGTCTTTTTTTTTTTTTTTTTTATTTCATCAGTAAGTGCTTCCAGTCCTTTTCCCTTTCCGCTGCAACGCTATGTCCTTAGCAGGTTGTTAACGAGCCTTCCTCTAATCCTCATGACACATTCTTCATCCAGTCCAGCGTCTTGCACGTTTGCTCAGCACAGGCTGAGGAAGTCTGGGCAAAAACACAGCCCCGCCTCACACCTTTGTTGGTTTCAAGCCACGCAGTCTTCCCTACCTGCTGGGTTTGAACAACTGGCTCTTGGTCTATGCACGGGTCCCCCGTGAGCATAATTGTTCTGGAATTCCCATTCTTCCCAGTGTTTTCCATAGTTTGTTATGATCCACACAGTCCAGTGTCTTTGAACAGCTATAAGACATACACAGACATCTTTTAATGGATGAGTAGATAGGTAGATGGTGGGTGGGTAAAGGAGGGATGGTTGAGTGTGTATGTAGATAAATGCACAGGTGGATGGATGATGGGTGGTCACTGGTTAGAATCACAATCCCACGAACAATTTGAATGGGTGAAAAATGAATCGGTGGATGAGTAGATGGGTAGATAGATAGTAGATTGCTGGCTGGCTAGGTAAATAGATGGATGGGTGGGTGGATTGCACAGATGGGTGGGCATATCATGGTCTTACTCATAATCAAGGGGTGAAGGGAAGGATGGGTGCTGGTTGTCGCCAGGTGCTAATGGCCGGTTCTGACGTACAGCAGCCCTGTGTTTAACAGAACGGAACGCCATGCTCCTCATTGTTGTGTGTCTGAGCCCACTGTTGCAGTCCGCTGCGGCAGTCCGTTGTGCAGGGTCTTCCTCTTTTTCGCTGCCCCTCTCCTTGACCGAGTATGATGTACTTACAAGGGATCGGTCTCTCGACAACAGAGCCAGAGTGCAGGAGACAGCGTCTCGCCGTCTTTGCTTCCAAGGACTGCTCTGGTTGTACTTTGTTTGTTCTTGGGCAGTCAGTGGTACTTTCAAGGTTCGTCATGAGCACCGTCGTTCAAATGCATTGATTCTTCTTCTGTCTTCCTTATTCATTGTCCAACTTTCACACGCAAATGAGGCAACTGGAAATACTATGGCTTGGGTCCGGGCACTTTAGTCTGCAAAGTAACCTCCTTGATTTTCAACACTTTCAAGAGCTCTTGTGCAGCAAACTGACCCAATGCAACGGATTATTTTATCTCCTGGCTGACTGCTGCTTCCATGAGCATCGACTGTAGACCCCAGCAAGATGAAATCCTTGACAACTTCAATCTTTTCCCATTTATTGTGATGTTACCTCTTGGTCCAGCTGTGAAGATACTTATTTTCTGTGCATTCAGTTTTACATCTCCGCTGAGGGCTGAAACTTGGGATCTTCCCCAGCAAGTCCTTCAAGTCCTCCTGGCTTGTAACGAGCAAGGTTGTGTCACCTGCACCATGGCCGTTGTTAATACACTTTCCTCTAAGTCTGATGCCACAGTCCGCTTCATGTAATCCAGCTTCTCTGATGATTTGCTCAGCACACAGACTGAAGAAGTATGATGAGAGGATACAGCTGGGTGGATGGATATGGATGGGTGGACGGATAGAGGGTGGGTGGGTAGATGGATGGGTGGATGGG